TCAAAATATTTTCCCTTCTGAAATGTGCTGCGGACCTCAATGGGAGAGCCCTGCCCGGATACAAAACTGGTATCCACATCTTCTACACCAATGAGACGTGGATATCTGTGTGTCTGGCTGCGGAGACCCACCGCTACAGAGCAGATACTTGCACATTTGCAAGGGTCTAGATACAAAATTTGTATCCACAGAAATGAGTGTCAAAATATTTTCCCTTCTGAAATGTGCTGCGGACCTCAATGGGAGAGCCCTGCCCGGATACAAAACTGGTATCCACATCTTCTACACCAATGAGACGTGGATATCTGTGTGTCTGGCTGCGGAGACCCACCGCTACAGAGCAGATACTTGCACATTTGCAAGGGTCTAGATACAAAATTTGTATCCACAGAAATGAGTGGTGGAAAACTGCCTCCACCTGGGTGGATGCAGAGCAGATCTCTGCAGGGCTGCAGGGCTCGGGTGGCATTGGAGCTATTGGAGAATGCCACAAGCTTCGTCCTCTGGGTGGTATTCCCAGGCGATGATAAAACCTCTAGCTAGTGGCAGCCAGCCTCGCCCCGCTTCAGTTCCCAGAGACCACCTGGCCCCTCTGCACCCGGGGGACCGGGATGGCAAACTGCCTATTGAGGGAGATTAGGGTTCCCACCTTGCCCCTCCCCATAGTGCCCCCCTTCCAGTCCTTGTATTGTAATGGAATTTAAAGCCACACCATTATTTTTTTCCTACCACCCCTGCCTTTCTGCTGTGCTCACCCCAGCCCTGCTCCTCTTGATTGCTGCCAAGCGTTGCGTAGTGAAATGAGCTGGTGGGACGAGATCCCTGGGATGGAGTTCCCCTTCTGTTGCTATGGCAACCGTTTCCAAGCGATACCCCAAACACTGCAACCCTGGACCAGCAGCGTGATGGGGAGGCAGCCATTGGCTGGGGGGGCAGCTGCTGAGTGAGCGAAGCCTAGAAAAGAAGGGGGGACTCCACCGTAGGTAAGAAAGAGTCCCCTGGCCCAAAGCCTGAGGTGCCCCTGTTAGGGGCGTGGGAAGGGCTATCCCAATGGAAGATACTCAGGGTCCAGTGACCCAGCCACGTTTCTATAAGCCGTCCATCACCCTGGTATCTGAGCTCTCTGTCCTGCTCCCTATCTAGGGTTCCCCAACTGTTCTGGGCACCTGTGCTGGTAGCAGCTGGCTCTGGGGCTGCCAACCGCAGCGCCTGACACTGAGTTACTCCAGAGCTCTGCATTGCTCCCATCCATGCTAGGTCAGACCTGGTGAGGGGAGAAGGGGAGGGAAGCTGCTGAGCAGCCCCAGGTTCTGACCCCTGCTGCTGCAGTGGGAAGCAGGGGCCTCTGGGGGGGCCAGGTGTGTCGCTGAACAAGTGAATCTGAGATTTGGAACAATCCAATATAAGAACATAAGAACGGCCGTACTGGGTCAGACCAAAGGTCCATCTAGCCCAGTAGCCTGTCTGCCGACAGTGGCCAGCACCAGGTGCCCCAGAGAGGGAGGACCGAAGACAATGATCAAACGATTTGTCTCCTGCCATCCCTCTCCAGCCTCTGACAGACAGAGGCCAGGGACACCATTTTATCCCCTGGCTAATAGCCTTTTATGGACCTAACCTCCAGGAAATTATCTAGCTTCTCTTTAAACTCTATGATAGTCCTAGCCTTCACAGCCTCCTCTGCCAAGGAGTTCCACAGGTTGACTACACGCTATGTGAAGAAGAACTTTCTTTTATTAGTTTTAAACCTGCTCCCCATTAATTTCATTTGGTGTCCTCTAGTTCTTCTATTTACGGAACTAATAAATAACTTTTCTTTATCGGCCCTCTCCACACCACTCATGATTTTATAGACCTCTACTCTCCACAACACCCCCCCCCCCCAGTGAAATAAGAGGGTAGGGATTGATGCAGGTGCAGTGGAGCCCAGTTAAAAAATCTGCATTGGAGAGCCTAGATTATTGGTCGCCAATATAATGCTATTATGAGGCCAGGAAGCGTTGGTGGGGAACCACTGCTCTAGAGAGAGCGGCCAGTCATCCTGTTCTCTCTAGAAGGCATCTAGTTTTGACTGGGCGCTAATCCTGCAGGTCAGGGAGGCGGGATAGTGACAGGCCTCAAAATAATATTTAATGTCCCATTGCTCTGCCGAAGAGCAGTTGCCTCTGTGTGTAAAGCTGACAGACCCTGGTCGTCAGCAGGTGGTATTGAACCGGGGACCTTAGGGACTAAAGCCATGAGCTTCTACCACATGAGCTAAAAAGCAGCTGGCTCTTAGCTAAGGCTGTAGAGCAGACTTCACTCGCCCTTGTTCAGTGCCTCTGGGTTACATGTTCAACTCCTGTGGAAAAAATAGTGAAATTCACCCCCCTCCCTCCCAAGTCCCATTGGACTTACGTGGGTCCTAACACTGGCCTGCTGCACAGAGGCAAATTTCATCTGCGTGTAACCCAGAGGCACTGAGACCGCTGAGAAAGGGAGTGTGACGAATTCTCTACAGCCTTAGCTAAGAGCCAGCTGGCTTTCAGCTCATGCAGTAGAGGCTGATGGCTTTAGCCCCAGGATCCCAAATTTCAATCCCACCTGCCAACAACCCAGGTCTGTTGGCTTGATTTCAGGGCTGGCCTACGGATGGTTTTACAGTTCCATTTCCAGGGCACAGCATAGTGCCGATTTTGTTCCTTCAGGTAGGCTAGAGACATAGAGGCCGGGGGAAGGGTAGAGGGGGTGCTGTCAGCCGAAGAAACAAAGCAGCTATGATAAAATGTAGCTAGCTCTGTCTGTTTCTGCCAGTCCTTCAATGTCGACAGCGTAGATGTGATTGGGAAAAGGACAGCCGGGGTAGGAGCCGTGACTGAAGCAGGCTGTCAGCCAAGGGAGGCTGATGTCTAAAATCTCCCCTGCAACTTAGAAAATAAAAAGTAGGGATTGGAAACAGTGGAAAACATAAGCCTCAGTGAGAACGTGGATACACCACTTAAAATGCAGGAAGGGAGGTGTGCCAGCAAAATTAGGGGCATCGGCTTACGCTTGCCTCATTAAAATGGTTTAAAAATCTTTCCTGTGTAGGTGGCAGCACAATACTCTATTGAAAGGCTGCAGGCCTGAAAGCAACACATGTGCCAGCCGGCGTCGTATAACAGGTACTGGGAGAGACGAACCTTAGAAACATCTGAGAGAGAGAGTGGGCGGGTTCGTAACAAGGCTTTTTGCTCAGCTGCGAAATTGCCCCTCACCCTCATTTCCATAAGAGACACTGGCTCTATACAGAGCCACCGGGGGAAGGCTCACAGTGAGCTACTGCGCAGATTATTTTGTAAACAGCTAACGAACAGCGCTGCCTATGACTACATTAGCTAGTGTTGGGTCCAAGCCCCCAGCTTGATAGGCCTTGCTGGCCTTTTAGGAGCTGGTCTCTTGCTGGTGCTCTCACCCAGCTGGATTTCAGTGTTTGATGTGGTGGTGACAGGCGGCAGGAGCTCCGGGCTGGCTTTTGTGCTTGACATACAGGTGAGGCCTGGCTAGGTAGCCAAACGGGGATCCACCAACGCTGGACTGTTCAGTGCAGACAGGCCAGAAATACCAGGCTCGTCTAAGTAGAAACCAAACTTCTCAGGTGCCTTTTGAATCCTGTTCTCCTGCAGTTCGGGCTCCCGAGGCGCGAGCTGGCCAAAGGGTCGTTAAAAACACGTGGCTAGAATGATTTCTGACTCCTGCGTCAACTTGACTTCCAAGCACAGTCCGAAAGCCAGTGGAGAAAGGGAGTTAAACAGGCAGAAAAGAGGCTAATGCCCCCTTATCTCTGACTGAATTATTCTCACCAGCCCTTCTTATGACTTCTCTTCACTAGAAAGCAGATGGCAATGCGACCAGATGACTGTTGGGTGCTTTGTGCCCAGGCAAGACCAAGTCAGGTGCTCATACATTTGGAGGTCTCTCCTGGGGTAACATGTTCTGCAGCCACGTTACATTTCCTAGCATAGATGGCTCTTAAGGCATAGATGGCCCAAGCTGTCTTCTGCAGCATGAATGGCTAGGCCTGAGATTTGTGGTGGATCTTGGCTCTGGAAGATAAGAGCTAAGCAAGAAGCCCAGGCTGTCTGAGACACAGAAAACAGATGCACTGGCAAAGTAACACACTGTTATCAAAGGGCATGATCATGCACAGAGACAGTCTTCTACAGCCTGTTCCACGGCCCTGTCTGCAGAGTTGCAGGTTGCAACGGGGACTCTGTCTCTGTTGAAAGGAACGAGGAGTCCTGTGGCACCTGAGGGCGTGTCTACGTAGCAAAGTTATTTCAGAATAAGAGCTGTTATTCCGAAATAACTATGCGAGTATCTACACAGCAATTATGTCATTTTGAAATAATTTCAAAATAACAGATGGCTTATTCCGACTTCTGTAAACCTCGTTCTATGAAGAATAACGCCTATTCCGAAATAGCTATTTTGAAATAAGGCAGGTGTAGACACTCCACTGCTGCGATTTCAAAATAGCCCCTCACCAGGGCCAGTCTAAGTTATTCTTCCTGGGGCTCTAAAGCAAGATAGCACGTCTACACTGCAAAGAAGCCTCAAAAGGAGTCAGGCTTCCCTAAGGTAGATATGCTATTTCGAAATAAGCTATTTTGGAATAACTCTTCCGGAATAGCTTATTCCACAATAACTGTGCAGTATAGACGTAGACTTAGAGACTAACAAAGGTAACGGATCATGAGCTGCGGTGGGAAAGACCCACTTCATCAGATGAGTTGGAGTGCAAATACAGAATCCAAGATCTATATGACAGGAAAAACACTTATCTGTCAATTGTAGATCCTTATTAATGAAGCTAATTAAGTGGGTTGGATAAGTCCCATTCATAGCTATTGCTGTGAAAGGCAAATGTCAAAGGCAGGGGAAATTGCCTTTGTTGTGCATTAAGCAGTTAATATCTTTATTGAAGCCCAGGGAGACAGTGTCAAACATTCACATGAACTCCAGTGTGGCGGTCTCTCTCTGTAATCGGGTGGTGAAATCTCTCTGTGGAAGAATGGCCCACAGAAGCTCCTGAGCCGATATATCTGTTAGTCTCAAAGGTGCCACAGGACTCCTCATTTTTAAAGTTACAGACTAACCCCCCTGAGACGTCTGTTAAAAGGGTGTCTCGTTATCCAAAGAGCGGCTGCTTAATGCAGCTAGCTCAGCGGCTTGTCGCCAGAGGGGTATTGGCTTGGCAGTTCATAGCCCCTCCGGGCTTGCTGCAGCAGTTGTGGAAGTAAAAAAAAATTGAGCTCCAGCACCTCTTTCATTACAAATTAAGCCCTGCAGGTCAAGCACCCTTACTCCTTCCTAATCTGCAGGCTGGTTGCCGTGATTTTTATTCCTTCCTTCCGTCCTATTCCTTTCTCTCAGGTCATTTGACAGTGACACAAGCAGGCACTGTCACAGGCATGTGTCACACTTATTTGTTTTCCCTCTTTACCTGGCAACTAACGTCAGGAGAGAGCTGTGCCAGAGAGAGGCATGTGAAAGGAAAGTCAGCAAAGAGGGAGTCACCTCTGGTTCCCAGTGCTGCTGGAATGAGCACAGATCCCCTTATAACACATCACCTGGGCGTTCCTTCTTTGCTGACGGGAAGAGAGATCCATGCTTCCAGATGCCAATGGGCATGTGAGCAGACAGCCAGGAGCTATCAGCATTGTAACAAGAATGCTGGTTAAAAAGTCCTCCGCTGTTTTTGTTATAAATTTGGCCCCATCCCCTCTCCACTTCCTAGGGAACCCTGGAAACTCTTGGTCTCACTCTGAAAAGCTCTGTTCCCCTCATTTCCTTCTTCTGCTGTTAACTTATTTCATCTGGGGCTGAGTACGAGGGGATAAAAGGTCGTGAATGGGCAGCAAAGGCCGCTTTGCCCGACTCCTTTAGCCAGCTCTCTTCCTGCTGGCACTGCCACCAAAACTGCTTGGTTCTTCTTAAAGAGGATTTGCCAATTCCTGAGCTTGTAAAGACTAAGGCCAAGTCTCCACGTGCTGTGCCAGAGATTGATCTTCTGGTGTTCAATTTAGCAGGTCTAGTTAAGACCTGCTAAATCAAATGCTGAGGGTGGCTCTGGTTGGGGCTGGTACTCCTGGCAGTTGCGAGGAGTAAGGGAAACTGACAGGACCATTTGCTCCCATCAGCCTCCCTCTGTGAAGACAGCGCCAAGTTTGGCTTATGGTAAGCCGACTCCAGCTACGTATTTTACATAGCTGGAGTTGCGGACCATAACCCGATCTTCCAGGTCTAGTGTGGACCTGGCCTATGCCTTTACTTCGCACCTCATTCTGTTCACTTAGAAATACAATGAGGGAAAGGGGCGAGATTCATGGGATTTGCAATGCGTCATAGAGCTAAATTCACCAAGTGGGTCCAAGTCAATTAATGCAGTGGCGTTTGAGTCTGTTAATGCCAGCAGCACACAAATCTCCCTTCAAGAACAGGGCCTTTTCTCCAAGTCTACAGCAGAGGTCAAGCCGGGAAGACAAGCAGACAGCAACTGCATTCCCTGATTACAAATAAATGTTCATTCTGATCAATAAATGGCAATGAGTCCCCAGCACAAACCTTCTGCTAGCTCCAAGCACCAAACATGGTAAGCCTGGGCCTTGGCACGGGTGTGCAAAGCTTTGTGGCAGGTAGCCAGCAGGACTGTTCTTTTTGACAGGCGACTGAAATGAAAAATCTCCTTTTCTTTGCAGCATTCGTGTCTCTAGGCACGGTGGTGTCTTGCATGGTTCCACAACGAGAGCCATGGGAAATCTGCTTTCCCTTCCCCTGAGCTCTCTCAGACAGACATGCTCTCCTGACCGCCCCTTGCACACCAGATGTAGGAACAAACACTGAGGTTTGGCGGGGCTTCGGGATTTTGTCCTGCTACATGGTAAAGACGCACTCTGTGTTCTTGGCTGGGGATAGGAGTCTGTCCTGTGTTCAGTGCCAGACTTCCCAGCTGCTGCCATGCCCTGTTTCTGGTCCTGGTCACATGTGAAGCGTTCCCCTTCCTAGATGGATCTGGAGGTACCCCTCTTTCCTCTGGAACGACAGCTGGGTAACATTCTGTGTGAGTCTGGAGCCTGTCCAGAGGGGGCAAAGGCCGCTGGAAACGCTGGAGTGGAAGTATGGACTGTGTGAATCCGAGTGACTCCAGAGTCAACCCAGAGCAGCACATTTCAGCAGGCGTTGCTGCAGTCCCCAGGGATGCTGTGAGACTTCTTCCTAACGTCCGTGACTGGGGCCTAGCAAGCAGGGAAGCTCCACACGTGGAAGAGACCAATAAAGTGCAGCGGTTGCTTTTAAACAAAAGTCAGCATCTGCTAGCAGTTACCCCCGAGCGTCCTCCGAGATCCTGCCACCGGCCTTACAAGTCAGCTCAGCTGCCGGATCTCAGACACACCATGGGACCCAGCAGCTCTTGCTATTTTCAAGGCAACCCCTGCACCAGTGTAGCGCACTGGATGGAAACAGCAACATAGTCAGAAGCGGGGAGAGACGACATCTCGGTAGATCTGATCTAACCACACCTGACTGCTCCATTCCACTCGGGGCACCTGACTGCCAGTAAGACACAAACAAACAGCCATGCCTTCAGAGAGGCGCCAGAACGAACGACTAATGTGTGCAAGGGACCAATCTGGGGTGGGGCTTGCTCTTGCTGAATGCAATGGTAACTCACCCATTGAATTCAGTGGGTGCAGATAAGTCAGTCCCATCGGAGCTAGATTTCCTTAGGGCGATTAAGCAGTGGGTCTGGGAAACACATCCCAGTGATTGAGGTAAACAGCAAAGCAGGAAAGAGGGTATTTAGGCCTCATGGACTCTAGAACATTAGGTCAGTTTAACTCGATCAGGGGTGTGGAAAATCCATGCCCCTGAGCAGCGTAGTGAAGGTGACCTAACTCAGGTAGGTCAATGGATGTATTTTGTTGTTGACTAAAGTACTGTCTCTGTGGTAGGGAGATGAACGGTGCCAATGGGAAGACCCTCCTGTAGGCACAGATAGTGTCTGCACTGAAGGGGTGCAGCGGCTCAGCTGTGCCACGGTAGCATTTTAAGGGGAGACAGGCCTTAAGAGTGTCACAAGCGGGTAACGGGAGTCTTGGCGTGGGAGCAAAGGGGAGATGTT